GGAGAGGGCCGGCGTTCCTGATCGTCTGCGCGTTGAGCTTGCGATAATCGATGCACAACCGCAGGTCCTTGTTCTTCTTCCGGACGAAGAGAACAGGAGCACCGTATGGCGATGAGCTAGGCCGAATCCAGCCTTTCTCTAGAAGGTCGTCGAGTTGTGCCCGAAGCACACTTAACTCTTCCTCGCTCATTCGGTAGTGGGGTAAGGGCAGTCGCCTGATAACGACCGGGTCCGCGAATCTTCGCAGAGATCACAAGTTACGTTTTCTATGGCCAGCCGACCACCAATATATGCTGAAGATAGGCATTCAGGTCTGCATGTCGGCAGTTATGGGTTAGGATGAAGACGCCCGTGGCTCTCTTGTTTTCTTGTTTTTCTTTTCTTGCGAATACGTCCAGTGGGGCCTGCTCCACTACTCACCAAATGCAAAAAAGACATAGCATATGGCGGTGTATGGTTCCATGTCTTAGCAGAAGATTCATTCTACTAATATTATATACATTTGGTGAGTGGTGGAGGGAGGCCCTGAGAATCACGTGGAGACACGAACAGGGTCTAGCTGGACTGGTGACCCATAACTGCCGAGCTACAGCCCTGAACTCGAATCCACAGCATATATTGGTGGTCTGCCCCCATGTCTTTTGTGAATGTCGAGGCCATCCTTCTCAGTGAAGCAGCGGCCCTCAATAGCTCCCCATGCGTTGTAGGAGCCATTAGTGGTACATGCAGGGGCTCTCGATTTGACATAAACGGGATCCTTTTTTGTCTCTCTCTCTCTCTCTCTCTCTCTCTCTCTCTCTCTCTCTCTCTCTCTCTCTCTCTCTCTTGGGCTCTGTCTTTTTTTTTCTTTTCTTTTTAATCACGCACATAGTGGACCTCCCTCAGCGTGCACCGCGCACAGCGGACTGCACGGCACACAGTGCGCGCGCTGTCATTTGAGCGCACAGCGCAGTGCACACCGCCCCGCACCGCACTGTGCACTTGTGCGCCGCAACTATGGAAAACAGACAGCAAGAGGGTTTCCAGAAACGGGAAACAGCCAGAAACAGTCTTTCCAGAAAAGGAAAACAGTCAGCAAGAGTGTTTCCAGAAACGGAAAACAGTGCACAACACCCAGGAAGCGTGTTTCCAGAACGGGAAAATGGTTCAAAACACCCAGATTATATTATTTTCCCGTTTTTTCGATGCAAGATTAAGGAAGAGAAAAACAACTGGGCCACCAGCCGGGCCGCCCGGGTCACCTTGTTTGACCGGGCAGCCCGGCCATGTGAGGACCACGGAAGGGCCCAGCCAAAAAAAAAAAAAAAAAAAAAAACCCGAAAAATCCAAAAGAAAAACTACGTGATGCAAAAACAAAACCTGAACGACTTTTGCCTCAGGGTAACATCGAAATTCTTAACCAAATTTGAAATAAAAATAAAAAATAAAATTTTGATTTTATTATTTTTTAGGCCCAGCCGGGCAAGTTGGCCTGGGCCACTCGGGTAGCCTGGAAAAACAACTCATAAAAGTTGAATTAAATTAAATTAAATTAAATTAATTAAATCCCATCCCCATCCCCCATCCCATCCCATCCCATCCCATCCCATCAATCACTATAGTGAAATGTTCAGACATATTGGTCATTGGGGGTTGACAGAATATGGAAAATGGAAGCTTGTCAAATTGTCAATCTTCATCAAACACAATCACTTGCATAATTTGTGCCAATTTTCTGGCCGGATATAGATGGAGCTTCAATTTCATTTCAACAGCTCATTTAGATCGTACGTTCTGTGTTGGAAATGCAAAAAGAAAAAAAAAATCAAAAAATAGATTTGTGGATAAGATTTGCAGATAGTCTTAACCCTTCTTTTTTACCTTCCTTTTTTTTCTCTACCTCCCTTTTTCCTCCTCTTTTTTAAAAGGGTTATGGCCTTGAGATATCATCATTGAGCTGACCGGCCCCACGGTAATTCGGAATGACTTTTTTATTCTGTTCATCTGATTGTATCTGGACTCGAACTTGAGTCTGATTCATATTTCAACAGTTCATTGGTGTACCAACTGAGCTAGGCCCATGGGTATAGAATCTATAGATAGATTTCTGGATAGATTTGTGGTTAAAAATAATAATAATAATAATAAAATTGTGGATAAATTTCTGATAAAAAAGAAAATTGTGGATAGAGAAAACAAAACTTAGAAAAGGATTTGATAGAAGGGGTGCGTGTGTTTGGGAAAAAAAAGAAAAGAAAAGACAAGAAAAGAAAAGGATTTGTGGATAGATGTGTGGACAGATATGTGGAAAGATTTGTGGACAGATTTGCGGACAGATTTGAACTTCACTGCCATGCCATTCCCTTTTTTGGAAAGGTTGTGCAGGCTGAGGTAAAGGCAGGCCCTACCCTGACGTGCCATGCACTTCTCGCTGGATACGGAGTTCCAACCCTTTTTTTTTTTCTTTTTTTTTTTTGGCGCCGCTGCCGGGGAGCAACGTTTCAACTCTCAACCCACTAGAAGTCTAGAACGTGTACTCTGTGTATAGAAAATGGAAAGAAAAAAAAAAAAAGAAAGAAAGCAGAAATGAACAAACACGTAAGTTGATGTAATAGAAAATGTACGGCACCTACTTCTTCACTGATTTCAATTTGATGGCCACATCATCAGGGATGGCGACAAGTGTTTCCCACCCATCCATCGCCAATCCTGGTCGGCCTCTTGCCATGGCTAGAACAGACGAGGCCACCTCCTTTTCCCACCAATCAGATGCTCCAGAACGTGTCCGCACGGGGCCGCCTCCCCCATTCTCACGAACATGACTACGGTCGTCTTCATCATCACGATCGTCCTTCTCACCACCACCACCACCACCGTCATCATCATCACCCTTTGTAGCAGTGTCAGCACTCTTGCTTCTCGATCGACGCTTCATGTGTTCAGATTTTTTCTCTTCTGGTCGACCTGCCTCCGTGCTGTCGCTAACCTGAGGACTTCTCTTCAGACCTAGATGGGTAATCGCCACCCTCCCCAATTCCACGCCATTGCCATTGACAACATCGAGGATCGGACTGTTGCAGGCTTGGAGCACGGCCCGCATTTCAGAATTGCCGAGCAGTGGTCGAAACGGCACCTTGGCCTGCACGCCAAGCAAACGAATAAGCAGGTAAACAACAGCATTGGAGAAATTCTTCTTGGGTCACCATGATCATTTATGTTTTTCTCAAATAAATGTCACTACCATTACCATGTATTTTCTATGCTTGCCTGGGGATAAGTAACCGGACTAGTGCCCCCCATAATACAAAGGGGTAACCGGACAAGTGCCCCCCTAATACAAAGGGGTAACCCATAATACAAAGGGGTTCTTTAAACCTCTTTTCCTTTGAAGAAGAAGAAGAAGAAGAAGAAGAAGAAGAAGAAGAAGAAGAAGAAGAAATTATTGTTGCCGACTGCTATATTTCACCCTCAAGCTCATTCAGTTTGGTCTGATACCCCTATAGCCCTGACTCGTCAACGAGCAGCGGCAGCGGCAGCGGAAGCGGAAGCTTGTCATCACACTGCAATTAAGTTTGTTGTCAACCAGATTGTTCAGAACAAGCCTGTGTGGCTTTTGGTACTCGTGTGGATTTCAGTGTTTGTTCTATCGGTGAAACTAGAAAATGTTGCAGCAAGCTATATGAGTGCGACTGTGGTCTGAGTTTGACTCGTCAACGAGAATTCAACCCCCAAGATACACTGGCCAACTACACAGATTACTATGGTCTGAGTTTGGCTGTGATTTGTCATGTTCACTGTGATTTCCTGAGTTTTATGTGTGCGTGTGTGCGTGTGTGCGTGTGCGTGTGTGTGTGTGTGTGTGTGTGTGCCAGCCAATGTACGCCCTTGTTTGTAGATTTTTCCCTGTACTTGTGTACATGATCCTGAGGACTCTGGTGGGTCTGAGAGCCAAATTGGTACTCGGAGAGGGGCTTGCTTGAAAATGTACCTTCAGTCCAAGGGACGGATGCTCAAAACATGTTTGCAATGAATTGCAGTGGCATGCGAGCTGTACATTAAAGTTGTTTAATGTCGCCTGGTTCTGAGTCCGTCGGGATTCGATCCCRCGGCCTGTTTCTCTGCTTGTTTGTTTGTTGGCTTTGTTTGCCTGGTTGTCTTGAGCCTTGTTGGGCTCGATCCCTAGACCTGTCGGCAGCAGTCTCTGTTGGCTGGTCATAGACCCTTCAGGCTGTTTTGGTTGTTTTAGTAGGAGGAACGTAGGCCCTCCCCTCTGGTGCTGTTTTCTGCCTAGATACAGTCCTAGGCTGAAAGTGCAAAACGAGGCTGTAGGCTGTCGGGTCTGGGAGGCTGGAGGGGAACAAAAGTACCGAGGGCAAAATTTTCGGGGCTGGTCGTCATTTTTTTTCCCCACGAAGTGCT